AAGCCCCCACAGCGAAGGAGATGGGCACCAGCAGCATCCCAAAGGGCACTGGCACATCCCCATCCAGCCCGGGGCCGGGCCACGGCGCTTTGCTCCGAGCCACGCAGCGTGGCTGGAGAAGAAAAGCGCCCCCGAAGTGCTGACTGGTGTTTAAGGTTGTCTTACTTTTGCCACTTCTTGTTTAGAACATCTTTTTTTCCCTCATAACTGCAAGCTGTGATGCTCTGAGGGTAAGGGAATCTCTCTCAGTGCTGCCTCCAGGCAAAACTTAAGCGGTGCCTTCCTCCTGTCTCTGTGGCTGTAGATTGGCAGTAAGATAAGAATCTTCCTTCCACTGCCAGTCTTATCTCCTGGAGATGTTAACACAGGAATTCTGTGATAGGTGTTAAATCGCTGTGGGAAAACAGAGGTCCTTTGACTTGCCAACGGTGGCATGTGGGCTAGAAGGGAGACACCAGGAGCTCGCTGCGTGTGGTTTGGCACTGGCAGCTTCATCCCCAGCCTACGTGTTGGGAGAATCCTCCCAGATCGGTGCCACATGAATATCAGGCCGAGTCCTTGGAGGGAGTTTGGCTCTGCAGCCGGCTGCTTTTGCTGCCTTTGACAATAGGTCTTTTCACCGTGCCCTGCTCTGTTGGTACACAAGAGGTTTAAGACTCCCAGTTCCCCTTGGCAGCAGAAGGCCTGTGCTCCTTTCTCCTATCTCCTGCCAGGTGGTAAAAGCAGACTTTCTCCCAAAAGCTTTTGCTTGATTTGCAACTCACTGTAAACAGTAGAAGACGAGTTCAAAGTCTTCTTGGATAACCTAAACCCACAGAGCTTACGATAAGGGCAAAGTGTGCAGGAGGTCACAACCCTTTCCTCCAGAACGGGCTCCAGCATTATGTAATCCTCAGCTTGCTGCTTCCCAGCGACAATTTTAGGTTTTGGCAGGTCCACGAGATCACAAGGCCACCTCACCTGGGGCACATGGGTATCGTGGCTTGCTGAGTTGTAGTTGGGGCAAAAGTGCTGTTAACCTGACTCCTCTGAGAGCCAAATTTGACCCAGGAGGTACAGCAGAGCTGCGTCAAAGTGGCACGGAGCCATCTGCTGCGCTCTCTCTCAGCACTATCTAAACACACCCTTTTTACTATGTTTTCACCAGATTCCCCACTACAGCTTACAGTGAGGGCTGGCAAAAGGGACTCCCTGCTGCCAATACACGTTGGGCCTTGGCACTGGCACCCCTCTCAACACCTTCTGCCCACCCCCGCCGTAACCGCCCCCGTCCCGCGGCGCGGCCCGCCACGAGCGGCTGCGGGAGAAGATGCGGCGGCGGCAGGACTCTGGGGACAAGTGGTTCTCCTTGGAGTTCTTCCCTCCACGCACGGCCAACGCCGCCGTCAACCTCATCTCCAGGTGAGGGCTGCGGGGTGGGAGAGGGGAGAGGTGAAGTGGCTTTGGTGGAGGGCTGGGAAATAGCTAATGAGGCAGGCTCTGCCCCACGCTCTGTCTCCCCTTCCAGGTGACGAAGCAGGTAGTGGGGCTGTGCTTTCCTGCTGGGGAGGGTAATGGACACCAGGTAACTTGTCTTCCTTGGAGGCCCTGAAGAGTTAAGTGTTCTGGTGGGGTTGCTGAGGGGGCCAGGCTGTTTCCCCTCTCCTGTGCTCTGTGAAGATGGAACCACCCCACTGCCATGCTCTGGGGCTGAAGCAGAGTGCTGGGGGACAACAGAGCAGAAAAGCACCTACTGAAAGCAGACACTGTGAATTGATGGACAGTGGGTCTGAGTCTCTGGAACAGAGACTCCCACTTGTTTTCATAATCATCCAGCCACTATGGTTTGTGCCTCAAGGCACAAACTGAGGACTACAGTTTTACCCTCTGATAGGTGTCCCCAGAGCTAAAGGTCAGCCTGGAGTCCAGTGGGAAGCCTCAGGAGCCCCCCACATTCTCAGTTTCATAACTCTTCATAAGAGGGAGCTTCATAACTCTTTTTGTAACTGCTGTACACCATTGCCAGGCTTACTTTGAACAGAAGGGCCTGTTCCAACCCAGAGCAGGAGAGAGACAAGTTAGGGGAGCCTTTGCCCCTTGTGTTAGTCACACTTGGGAACACAACAGAGTCTGGGTCCATCTTTTCAGATTTGTGGCCTCTGCAGTTAAAACTGGGACCAGGGGGTTGCAGCAGTCTCCAGTCTCAAAAGGAATGGGACTTGCATTGCTATCAGAAGATGTATCAGTCTAAAAGAGCATGCTGCAAGGAAGCTTATTCTACAGAAAGCACTTAAGTTGCCTCTTCTTCAAAGAGATTGTAAGCTGCTCCTCATACAGCCTTCAAGGATGGCTTTCCTGATTACACTGGCCCCTTGCTAAGATCCTAGTTCCACACTGTTCTTGGTCTCCCTTGCTGCTGTTATCCAGGCTCTCTTTGTTGCTGGCACTCCAGCAGTGAGCCAGACACCCTAGGCAAAGAGAGGGGAGATGGCTCCAAAGGAGGCTGACCCAGCTCTAAAACTCCCCAGGTTTGACCGCATGGGCGCGGGTGGCCCCCTCTTCATTGACGTGACGTGGCACCCTGCAGGAGACCCAGGATCTGACAAGGAAACCTCTTCCATGATTATTGCCAACACTGCAGTCAACTACTGTGGCCTGGAGACCATCCTGCACATGACGTGCTGCAACCAGACCAAGGATGACATCACAGGGCACCTGCAGAAGGCCAAGAGGCTCGGCTTGAAGAACATCATGGCACTGCGTGGAGGTGAATCCCTCTGCCCTGGGGTGTGCAGGGCTCTGGTTGATTGCTCTTGCATTCAGTTCCAGGGTAGAAATGGAAAAATAGGATTTTGAGACCCTTCCTGCTGCAGGAATTAAAAGCTGAGCCTGCAGACTGGGTGGTTTCTTCTCATCCTCCTTTTGGCAGCAGGAGGTTTCTACAGCGTTGGAGATCCGAGTCCAGCAGACAGTTGGAGAGAGCTGTGGATTTGTTCTCTTTTCAGATCCCGTGGGTGAGGAGTGGGAGGAAGAAGTAGATGGCTTCAACTATGCTGTTGACCTGGTTAAGCACATTCGCAGTGAATTTGATGATTACTTTGACATCTGTGTGGCAGGTAAAGGTCTTCCATGAGCAGAGTATGCCCGGGGGTAGGGTCTGAGATAGGGAGGTCAACTCATCAGTCTCTTCCTGGGCCTGGGCTGGGACAGTCCAATCAAATTGGCTACTTTCTAATTTTTAGCATGACCACTCAGGTCTCACTGGTTTGGGTTTGTTGTTTTGTTTTCTTTCCTCTCCCAAGGCTACCCCACAGGTCATCCTGAAGCAGAGAGCTATGAGGCAGACCTGAAGCACCTGAAGGAGAAAGTCTTTGCTGGGGCAGACTTCATCATTACACAGTCGATCAGAAACCTTCCTTAAGTTCCTGAAGGACTGTCAAGCTGTTGGCATCACCTGCCCTGTTATTCCTGGCATCTTCCCCATACAGGTAAAATCCAGGAATTCTGGTTTGGGGAGGGAATAAGGATTCCAGGATGTTAGGTGTTTATGGGTCAGGGCCTGAGAGAGGTCTGGAAATATGCTCCACAAAATTTCTAGGAAGTGAGAGTGCTAAATGTGTGATCAGCCTGTAGATGGTGGGTTAAATTCAACTCCTAGGTGTGTAACAACAAGTTTCAAAGGTTTTCTGTGCCCCTATGGCAAAAAGGGACATAAGGACAATGGTCTCCCTGTCCTAAGGTGCATCACTGTCAGCGTGCAGGGCTCGGGCTAAGAAATGGGAAGAAATGACCTCAAGTGACATCCCCAGGACTGTGTTACCCTCCCAGAGACAGGGCTTAGGACTAGAATCCAGGAGCCCAAATTCTCCATCTCCTGTCCCAGAACTGAGGTCAAGCCCCTGTGTCACTGGGAGGTCAGAAAAGGCCCTTGGAACAACGAGAACTCCCTGTATCCTCTCCCAGGGTTACCACTCCCTGCGCCAGCTGGTGAAGCTCTCCAAGCTGGAAGTGCCTCAAGAAATCAAAGATGTGATTGAGCCCATCAAGGACAACGATGCAGCTATCCGGAACTACGGGGTGGAGCTGGCAGTGTCCATGTGCAGGGAGCTGCTGGACAGTGGCATGGTGCACGGGCTCCACTTCTACACCCTCAATCGGGAGGTGGCCACCACTGAAGTCCTCAAGCGCCTGGGCATATGGAAGGAGGACCCCAGGTGAGCAGAACAGGCTGGCTTCCCTTGGTTCCTCTGTTCCATCCATCCCATCTACTGAAGGCTCGAGCAGTGGGTGGGTTGGCACCACTCCTCTGCTGCCTTTGGTTTTGTAGCAGCTGACTGCACTTAGAAGTTCACCCTTCCTGCAGGTGTCTGGTAAAAGCTGGGAGGAATAGAGGGGACAGCTAAAGGAGGAATTTTAGTCAAGTGGCTTTAAAGTAGCCTGTTCTGGAGCTTTAAAAACCTAAACTCTTCGAGCTGTTTCTTAGAAGAAACACAGGTTTGAGATCTGTTCACAACCCCTCTTTCAAGCTAGGTGCTATGGAAGCTCCCACTGTGGCTTTCTAGCTTCACACAGTGCCTCTCCCTTACCTCACCCCATTTCAGGTGTCAGCCCTGTAGATACCACCAAACATCCTGTGAGGGAACCGAGTGGGAAGAGATTTTTCCATAAAGGAAGAAGAGTTTTCTGTCCTACTTTGACAAATAGAACTCTTCTCAAGCCTCTCTTACTTGCTCTCTCCAGAGGCAAATGTCTCCAGGGGAAGGGCTTCCAGCCTGGGGTGGGATTTCACATCTCTTCCTCCCGTGCAGGCGGCCTCTGCCCTGGGCAGTCAGTGCCCACCCAAAGAGAAGAGTGGAGGATGTTCGGCCAATCTTCTGGGCCTCTAGACCCAAGAGTTACATCTACAGGACCCAGGAGTGGGATGACTTCCCCAACGGCCGATGGTGAGCTCTGAGGTAGAAGTGTTGCATGGGGGTCTCTTACTGCCCTGCTCCACAGCTGCTCTCTGGCACGGGTGGGTGTCCTGGCCATGCTTTGGGCTTCACAGAATAGGTGGTTTCCTCACCAAATGGTCCCCAGTTGCTTGGATTTGAATGAAGTGTGGAGAGTGGCATCAAGATGTTGAGGGTTTGGGGCTCTAGGTGGGTTTTGTTGGATACTTCTCTTCCTGCATCACCAAATCAGCCAGTTACTCCTGTGTCTTCTGGCCTTACAGGGGTAATTCCTCCTCTCCAGCCTTTGGGGAACTGAAGGACTATTACCTCTTCTACCTGAAGAGCAAGTCTCCCCGGGAGGAGCTCCTGAAGATGTGGGGGGAAGAGCTGACAAGTGAGGAAAGTGTCTTTGAGGTGTTCACCTGTTACATCACTGGAGAACCCAACAAGAACGGTTACAAGGTGAGTGACAGCCCAGGAAGGGACAGTCACTGTGGCACAGACAGCAGCAGACATTTCCTCCTGCTCCTGATACCACATTGTTCTTCTGGACATGGGTTGGCACTTCCCTGTCCAGAAGGACTTGCTGAGATAGTGGCTGTAGGGAGTCCAGCAGCCAGAGCTAGGGCTCAGTGCAAACAGAAACCTGCTGCAGCATGGCAGGACTTCAACAGACTTCAGCAGCCACTCTTAGGAGCTGAGGATATCCTGCCCTTCAACCAAACCTGGAAGCTCTGTCTGGAAGTTTGAGACCATGGGGGAACTTCTGAGTTCCTTCAACATCCAGCTGGTAACAAAAGTCTTGTCACATCCATAGTGAGCATCCCTTCTCCTCTGGGCAGGTCACGTGTATGCCGTGGAATGATGACCCTCTTGCTACTGAAACCAACCTTCTGAAGGAGCAGCTGGAGAAGGTGAACAGACGAGGGATCCTGACCATCAACTCCCAGCCCAACATCAATGGCAAACCATCCACAGACCCCATTGTGGGCTGGGGGCCCAGTGGGGGTTACGTCTTCCAGAAGGTACTGGCTGCACTCTGGGCTAGGCAGCAAAGAGTTAAGACCCAGTGTGGTCCCTGTTGGGTAGGGAGGTCTTGGGCTTTCACCCAGATAATCCTTCTGCCTGCTCCTTATCTTAATGCCTTCTTGCTGAGGTGAGACAAAGCTCCTTGGGTGTCTTTAGAGGCAGACTATGTCATCTCCATGGCTTACTTCATCATTGTTTTCCCCACATCTGTTGAAGATCAATACTCAGCAAGTAATTATGGATAAACTTATTTCTAGAGCAGGGCCATTGTGTTTTAGATACAAACATGTGCTGGCCCACTCCATCAGATCCCATTCAAAGAATCACAGAATAGTTGGGGCTGGAAGGCATCTTTGGAGACCATCTCATCCAACCCCCTGCTCCAGCAGCTCACCCACAGCAGGGTGCCCAGGGTCACAGCCAGGCAGGTTTGGGATCTCTCCAGAGCAGGAGACTCCACAACCTCTCTGGGCAGCTGCTCCAGGCTCTGCACCCTCACACCAAAGAAGTTTCTCCTCCTGCTCAGGTGGCACCTCCTGGGTTCCAGTTGGTGCCCGTTGCCCCTTGTCCTGTCCCTGGGCACCACTGACCAGAGTCTGGCCCCAGCCTCTTGCCCCCCAGGGCCCTTTAGCTCTTGCTCAGCATTGATCAGATCCCCTCTGAGGCTTCTCTTCTCCAGCTCAGCAGCCCCAGGGCTCTCAGCCTGTCCTGGCACAGAGATGCTCCAGGACCCTCAGCAGCTTCACAGCCTCTGCTGGACTCTCTCCAGCAGCTCCTTGTCTCCCTTGAAATGGGGATCCCAGAACTGGAGCCAGTCCTCCAGAGGTGGCCTCACCAGGGCAGAGGGGCAGGAGAACCTCCTGCACTCACTGACACAGGAAGCACCCAGTGTTTTTATAAAAAGGGAATCAGTGAGGTAGGTTCTCTACCACTGAGCTCCTTGCAGTAATAAGGAAGGGTTGTTGGGTCTGGCCCAGGCTGCCCAGAGCAGTGGTGGAGTCCCCAGCCCTGGAGGTCTTTAAAAGACATATAGAAGTGGCCCTGAGGGACATGATTTATTGGTGACCTGGCAGTGCTGGGTTAATGGCTGCACTTGATCTTCATTCTAGGAAGAGGCATTTAGTTTCATCTATCTATCCTTCTCCAAGGCAGGGCCCTCCACCAGTTGCCCCCACCCCACAGCCCTTCTTGCTGTGCTGCCAGGGTCCTTCTGTGGTCTGCCAGCAGCCTTACCTGCCTCCCAGTCATGCATCTTCAGGCCCTGGAGCCTCCTCACTAATGCCTGGGACAGGAATCTCCTACCAAGGTAAACCCAGGCAGTGGCTCATCCTAGGGAACAAAGCAGCCTTGCTCAGGAGGGATCCAAACCCAGCAGATGGCAAATGCAGTTAGGTTTTCAAAGGAAGAGATTCCCCCGAGGTGAGGGAAATCCATCATCTCACACAATGGCCAGGAAATGGGGGAGGGGAAGCAGTTGTTGGGAGCAGCCAAGCACAGAGCAGCAGTAGATGGAGCAACTATGGAATTAGGTTCTATTAAACACACAGGGAGAGTTGTGAACAAAAGAGGAGGACAGGGAATGGTGGGAGAGCCCAGCTGAGGCCCCTGATGCCTGCTCCAGCCCGGGCTGCCTTGGCAGGATGCTGCTGTTCCCAGGGTACCACACAGAGCAGAGGTTGAGCTCAGGCCTCTTCCAGTCCCTCTGCTCTGGCACAGGCTCCTTCCCAGACACAGCCATGGTGGAGCTTATTCCAGCCTGGGTGGGTGCAAAGGAAGCTTGTGGTTTTCCTGGGCTGGGGAGACCTCTGCTCTCCCCAATTTTTTATTCCCCCCCAGCCCGAGCTCTCTAATTTGCTCTGCCCTTTGCTCAAACTCCCTCTGCTTCAGGGAACAGACATGCTTGGGTTCCCAAGCAGCCCAGACAGTACAGCAGTTCTCTTGGTTGCCTGTAGTGTCCCAGCCCTATTGTGAATTAAGGCTCTTGCTCTCTTTGCCCCTCCCCACCCCTCCCCACAGGCATACCTGGAGTTCTTCACCTCCAGTGAGATCGTCACAGCTCTGCTCAAGGTGCTGAAGAAGTATGAGCTGAGGGTGAACTACCACATTGTCAATGTCAAGGTAGGCTGTTGGTTACAGGGGGCTTCCCTCCCACCACCTGGGAGGGGAAAACATCAAAGATTTGGGTATCACCATGAACCAAGTGGGACAGGAGGGCTGGGGGAGGGAAGGGAAGGAGACACAAGTCAGCTGTGCTGCAGAGCAGCTGTCTGACCCCTTCCCAAGGAGAGGGTGAATACACTTCTTCCAGCTCACCCAATCCCTCCCCCAGCAGCAGCTTCAGAAAGGTTTTCCCTCCTTTGGCAGGGCCAGAATATCACCAATGCCCCAGATCTGCAGCCCAATGCTGTCACCTGGGGCATCTTCCCAGGCAGAGAGATCATCCAGCCCACTGTGGTGGATCCTGTCAGCTTCCTCTCCTGGAAGGTGAGTCCTCCCTCCTGCTGCATACCTGGTGATGCCCTGGAAGTTCAGGGGATCTGGTTTGTTTTCAGTCTGGGACACTTCTCACAGCTGAGTCCTGTTGTGATGCTGGGTTGTAGAGGTGATACTGCTCCTCCTGCTGCCTCAGCCTGAGGAGAACTTTCACAGACACCAAGTGCACGGTGCAGGAAGCTCAGGAGCCAGCCCTGCCCCTTGCCCAGAGCTCTGGGCAGCAGCTCTGCCTCCCTCTGACACGCAGAGGGGCAGTGTTGAGCCGTGGTACTGCACCCGTGTCTCCTCCCAGCTCCGGGTGCTTCCCACCGGCTGGAATTCCAGCACCATGCTCCTTGCTCGGCTCTTGCAGGTTTTGCTGAGGAGAAACGGGCCACAAGCTGGCCAGGGATGTGTGACACTGAAGCCATAGGGAGGTGGAGCTCTGTGACACGTGCATTACACCACTGCTGACCTGTCTTTCCCCTTGGCAGGATGAGGCCTTTGCTCTGTGGATCGAGCAGTGGGCCAAGCTCTATGAGGAGGAGTCACCCTCTCGTATGATCATCCAGTACATCCATGACAACTACTACTTGGTCAACCTGGTGGACAATGACTTCCCCCTTGACAACTGCCTCTGGCAGGTGGTGGATGATACTTTTGAGCTGTTGAACTCTCCAACTCAGCAGTGAAACTTCTACTTTAACCCCTCCGTCCTCCTTCCTTCCACTGAAGGGAGGGAGAAAGCAGCTCCTGTGCTGCTGGTGAACCAGACACTCCTCAACCCACCCAGTGCCCAGGCTACACACACTACATGCTCCTCTACCCCCAGCACAAAGGCTCCCTGGCCCCTTCTCACTGAACAAGAGCCAGAACTACCTGAACTGAGCCTCTGGGCTGAGCTTGAAGGCCAGCTCTGCAGGATGGAGAGGTGCTAATCATGGCTGTGGTGATAACTGGAGAACTCCTGTGCATCAATCTGAGAACATTCAGTGGGATTCTGGCAACTCTCTCGTGCCAGAAATGCTGCCCTGGGGGCAGAAACACTCCTGTCAGCAGTGCCTAGGCAAGGACATGGTTCCAGCAGCCACCAGCCCTGAAGGGAAGGCCAAGTTGCTTTTACATTGCACTCCTTAGGTGTATTTCTTCATAACTGACCACATCAAGGTCTTTTGCACTCACTCCAGAAGACTGTTCAGCTTTTCTCCATAACTTTTCTCTTTTTATGATATTTTTCTTTTCATAAGATGATGTGAATTTCACTTCTGGATGAATCTGAGTAGGAATCACACTATTTCTTAGATTAAATACAATAAAATACACAAATATAAACGTCTCTTGTACTAGGCCATAGTCTTGTAAGTAGCAGAGACTTATGTGCAGACTAATTTTAAGAGAACTAATTGTTCTGTCTTCACTTTCAGTCCCCTAAGTCAAGTCTGGACCAAGCTCTAGGGTAGAGCAGAGACAGCTTAAATCCTAGAATTCACCAGCAGCAGCCACCTACAAGCTCTGGCTCTGTTCTGCAAGGTCACCAGAGGTCTGGTGGTCCTTTTCCAGTGCCTCCTCCCAGCCTTAGGTCCCACAGCATTGAAACAGGAGGTTGGGGGAGCTGTGGAGGCTGCTTTGTGTACTTAATCCTGCAAAGCTACCACAGGCTAGGAAAACAAGACCTTCAGGCAGGTCCCAGGGGAATTTTGAGATCCCTGCCATGCTGTGAGCATCTCTTTCAAACAAGCCAGGAAGAAAAGCCTTTTCCAGATTCTTCAGAGCCTCTCATTACAGCTGTCTGAGCCCAGGCTCATAGATCCAGGGTAATTACAGGGCATCAATCACAGGAGCAAGTAATGGGGAGGTGGGGGGTCAGACACGCCTGTCTTGCCTCAGCAAAGCTTTTGGTGCTCAGCTGTTCCCAGCAGGTTTCTTCATCCCTGGCCCATTCAGCACAGAAAGGAACCAGCAGGAAGCAGTCAAGAGGTTGGCCACCCACTGAAAGGCTTAATGAAGAGCTGATGGACCTAGACAGGGGGAGGAGGTGGGAGCCATGTGGGAAATCCTCCCTCCCCACCAGGGGAGAAGCCCAATCTAAAAATAAAGACCTGGCTTTGCACCTACCGAGGACAATCCAGACCCTGGGGTCAACAAGACCTGGCCTGTGCACAGGCAGACTCCTGTCCATCTCTTTAATTATTTGCTTACTCCCTGTGTGACACTAAACTCCTGTGCAAGAAAAAACACCCCACTGAGTCAAGGGAGAGTCTGTAAGGTGGGGGTTGGACCTTTAATCAGAACTCCAGCAAAATCAGGGTCAAAAAATCACTTGTCAAATCTGTGCCAGGATATCAGTCCTTGGAGAGCAGCTTTCACTAGGTACCATCTCCTCCTGGCTGTGCTTTGGCCATGGTGCTTCTGACCTGCTTCCATCAGGTGGATTTCCAGCTCTTCTTGGTGACAGCCACAGTGTCCCCAGAGGAGCTGCAGGTCAGCCCCACCTTCAGCATCCTCCTCTGTCCTGCAGCTGGAAGGCTGTTAGCTGTCGCCACCTTCCAAAGGCCTGCAGTGGCAAGAGGGGACAAATCAAACCCTTGGGTGACCCTTCAGGGCTTGCAGCCACCTTCACAGCCCCAGCAAGCACGGGTTTGGCTCTGCCACCAGCCTCACCCCTCCCTCACAGCCCTTCCCTGTCTCCCCCGTGTTCCTACAGCCAGTGACTGGAGGGCAGAGTACAAATAAATGTGAGAAAAGGAAGATCAACACTCCCCCCTTTCTGCTCTCTAATTTCAGGACTTGCTCTCCTCTTGTTAAAGGGGGACCTAATCCTCTGTGGATCTTTGGGAGGCAGGCAGAGGAGAAAAAAAGGCTTTTTAGGCTCTAAGGCTCTTCCTCCTCACTCCAGCTGACAGCAGCTTGCCTGCCCCTGGGTGCAAGTCAGCACAATCCCCCCACACCAACGTGAAGCCTGTTTCTTCCTTGAGTGGGCTCTTGAGAGACAGGGGATTAGTGGATTAGCATCTCTGCTAACAGTGGGGAAGGGGGCATGTGTCAGGGGAACTGACTGCTGCCACAAAGCTCCCAGAAACACCCAAAGATGAACCCAGAGAAAGCTGGAAGCTATTTCCCTTTGTTACAGGCAAATCCCATCCGTTGAGATCTTCCACTTCTCCCTCAGCAAGTGCTTTGTGCAGGGAGAGAGCCACAGGGAACACCAGTTGTCCCTTTGGGGTGCTTTTTGGTCTGCAGAGTGCTCACAGTGATGAATGCTTACCTGAGATAGGAGGCTCCTGGCTTCCTCCTCCAAAAAGTTCTGCACCACACAGCTCTGCAAATATCGTCGTCTCCACACCCTCCAGGTCTTCTCCACCAGCCGCTGCTGGTCCTGCAGGGAAGGAGCCAGTGCCCAGATTCACTGGGCTCTGCCAGGCAAACCCCTGCCCTCTAGTCCCACCCTGCTCCCAGGTGCCTTCTCACAGCCCTCTTGAAGTGTTTGCATTGGCAACAACCAAAGCTGACCACTAACAAAGCTCCTGCTGAGCCACAGTCTGCTGCAGGTACTGTGGCTCCTTAAGCCATGGCTCTGCTGTAAACACTGTGGCTACTTAAGCCATGGCTCTGCTGTAAATACTGTGGCTACTTAAGCCATGGCTCTGCTGTAAAAACTGTGGCTATTTAAGCCAGGGTGCCCCAGGGAAGGGCCAGTGCTCCCATCCATGCTCTGCACTGCCTCTGGATTCACTTGCCATACATGCCCCATCCTGTCCCCTGGGCAGGTCACAGAACCTCTCACACAGCCACCAGCCAGGCAGAACGTGGGTCTCTTCCATAGGTGGCTAGTGCCCCAGCAGAAGGGGAAGCCAACTGACAGCCCGTGGTGGACCAGAAGTACATCTCAGGAATGCAGAGGGGGACAAGGACTCTAATATTTGTCAGCATTTTGCACAGGCTACAGACAATCTACATGAACCATCCCATCTCAGCTTCCCACCTCTGAGATGGGGCAAAGCACAACTAGAGGTGTGGATGTGCCAGGCTGCTGTGCTGGCATTTCAAAGAGAGAGGTGGAAAAAGAAGCTACAGAGCAACCCAGGATTCCTGCCTAGTGCACTCTGGTACTGGTTAACCCCCCAGGTCCCATCTCCCAGGACGTGTAGAGGCTGCAGGCAGAGCAGGCTGGGACCAGACACTCACCAACAGCTCAGCCAGCACCACCTCCCTGCTGGCTTCTTTCCACTGGTGCCACCCCCTCGCCAGGCAGTGCAGTCTCCTGCCACGCTGGCACCTCAGAACTCTCACCCTCTGATGCCACCACCTCAGATACTTCCTCCTACAAGCAAGAGGGGAAAACATCAGTCCAACAACCCTCCCTGGCAGCAGCAAGAAGAGGAAGCCCCGAGCCCTCCCCTCCACTTACCCAAGCCACTCCTCATCCCACTCCTTTAAGTTCACCTCCACTTTGTTCTCCTGGATCCTTGCATGTGCAGGAGACAGTCCTACCACAGCAGGTCTCTCTACAAGGTGAGGGAGCTGCAGCCTTTCAGCCCTGTTTTGGGTTCTGTAGATCACCAGCCAGTGGTGAATGGCACTAAGAAAAAGCCCAAGGGTGGCAGCTGGTGTTGAACCATCTTCTCTGCCTCTTCTGGTTTCTAGGAAAGAAAAGAGGAATGACACAGGAGCTCACTTTGGAGATGGAGAAGGAGAGATCAGAGCTGCCATGAGCCCTTGGTTCTTTAGCTCCTGAACACAGAGGCAACCCACAGTCAGAGTCTGGCTGCCATAAACACCTACTCCACAGAGGAAGCCCAGACACCCCTCCTCACACCCCCACGAAAGGAAGAGAGGAGAGGGCATCTTCTTACTCATGGACCAAGACAGAGACATCTTCCTGCTCTTCCTGGCACCTATCAGGGTACTGTGCTGCCGGGAGCACTGGGACAAGGCAGCTGCTTTGGTCCAGTAGTTGCAGGCCTGCAAAGAGAAACAACAGAGCTCGAGCCAGCCCCAAACACAACCCACACAGAGAGCACACACAAAGCAGCCTTAGAGAGACATTTACACCCCCAGCCCTGCAGGCAGTTCCATGTGCTAGACCCCAGGCTGGAAACTGCACAGATGAGATCCCAGCAGGACTGAATCAGCCCTTGGAAATCAATCGACCTCTTTGGGGTTTGCTGGCTGGGAGCTGTTTGAAACAGGCTGTGGCTCTGCCAGCTCTGCAGGGACAGCCATTATCCCTTCTCCTCTTTGAGCAGAGAGGAAGGAGTTCTCTCTTGTCTCTGGTCAAAATGCCCCCACCACTCCTCATTGCCATGCCCCAGCTGGTTGCTGCAGTCAGTGCCAGGTTAGGGGATGAAGTTGCTCACACAGTCCATGAAGAATTTCAGGGCAGGGACAAAGCAGCCACCACAAATCAAACCAGGTTTTGTGCAAGCCTTGTCGCTCTCTCTCTCAGCTCCTGGCGACTCAGCTGAGGACTCCAGGAGAGGACAGGCAGGTGAGAATAACTGTGCCACGGGGACCTTCACCCTCCCTTACCTGCCTGACAGTGCCCCCCGAGCCCAGGCGCAGGGCTCGCCCTCCTCTCGCGGCCAGTCGCCAGCGGTGCCAGGCTCTGCCCCGGGAGGGCTCCTGCCACTGCTGCTTTCCCTCTCCCAGCACTCTCTCTCCAGCTCTCAGGGATTTCACCCTCCATGCAGTAAAGCTCACAGCTAGGAGATGATGCTCTCTGACCCTTC